AGAGGAGAAACAATAATGTATAGTATGTGGAAAATAATGTTTTTTTACTTTAAATCGCATAAACGCATTTCATTACACCAAATACACAAAATAATGTTCTTTTTAGCAGCATCATATGACCCCTTTAATTAATGTTTATTGCATTACATATTTTTTTTTACAAAATTATTGTGGCAACCACAGCTGCCAAAATTATTTTGTAAAAACAATTTTTTTTTTTTACTGTGCATGAAATAATGCAGCATTTTTTAATCTTGGTTAATGCTAATTTCTTCATATGTTATTACATTTTAACATTTAACATTTTATAAATTAACATTTGTGTTATAAATGAACATAAATTATTAACACAGAACTATATATTTTATACATACCTTTCCTCTTCTTAGCTGCCAGAGCTATCAACAGGTAAATTGCCTCCGCTGGCCTGTGACTTGCTTTGCTATCTAATTTCACAAGGTGTATAATCACTGACAACCATTTGTGGAAAAACCGGTCGAAAGTAATTAATTAGAATGCAAGTTAGACCTTGATTTGACAGGTTCTTTCTCAGGATCGGTTTTGGGGTTCGGTTCGCAGTTTAGATTGATTGTGTCTGTGTCGTTGGGAAAGCACAGCTGCTCGCCTTTGGTCGTGAGTATGTGCTTGAGTAAGAAGGGACGAAGATGTTGTAACTTCGGTTGATGGTCCTGCTTTAGAGGTTTGGCTCTGTTGAGTGGGAATGGAGCAACTGGGAACTTTGGGAAAGATGCCTTTTCTGAATGAGGTAGTAAATCATGCATTGCTCTTGTTCGGATTTGAATATTATATGAGAAAAGCTCATGCTACTGTGTAATCAAAGGTGACATATTACCTGGTAGTATAGTGTGTATATTACCATACACACACACACACAAAATTGATTACGATTTTTATATATATATTTATAATATTTTTGTTAAGTAAGAACGCAATAAATTGATAAAAACTGATGCAGTCTTTACAAAAAAAAAAAAAAAAGTAGTCAGTTTCCACTAAAATCTTAAGCAGCACAACTGTTTTGATTGATAATATTGTTATTAACAATAGATGTTTAATAAACTAAAATTTCAAATTTGCCAACACAGGAATAAATTGCTATAATAGATGTAGAAAAAAGTGGTTTTAAATTGCAATAATATTTCATATATTATTTCTACTCTTTTATTGAATTTTTTTATCAAATAAATGCAGCCGTGGTGAGCATAAAATACTTGTAATTTTTAATTATAAGGTGGTTTGCAACGATAATTAAAACCTTAGTTTAAATGTAGAATTTATTTTATTTAATTTTCAAAAGCATTTGTGATTTTTAATATTCATTTTTATTTCTTTTTCTTTTTAGGTTGCTTTATACTAATTTAGTTTTAGTATTTTTATGTATTTACTTGTGTTACCATATATATTTTAGTTGTTTTTATGTTTTGTAGTGTGTATGTGTATATAAACAGACAGAAGCCATTTATTTCCAACAATGATGCCAACCATTCAGATGAGCTACGTAAAACAAACTTGTTCCTCTTTCACGGTCCTAGTTCAGTTAGATGTAAGGGAGTGTATGTGGATGGCAGTGTGTCAAACCAAAGACACTTTTAGACGCAGTAGGCTTCCAGTGTAAATTCATTACTCGTGCTCTAAAGAACTCCTGCGTGTTAGCGATCATTAGTGAGAGGACTCTGGCTTCTTGTGCTACTCGGTTCATGTTCTGTATTTTTCTCACCTCATTGATTTTTCCTCGAACGGCCTGTCCGGTTAGTCTGCCCCTCTCCTTTCCCAAGAATTCCCTGGGATGCTGAAATCTCTACAGTGTGCTGTTGCCTGTTTGTGTGCGGCTGTGTGGGAGCCGAATGTGTGCTCATTCCGCTTGTGTTTGTGTGTATGTGTGAGGAGCTGCTGCCAGGGAGATTATATTTTTCTTGTCCTCTCCAGCAGTTGGCTTGCCGTGATTTACTCTGTGGCTCTGCATAGCTGCACTCCTCATGGACTGAAATGATTGGGGAAAAACCGCTTGTTCCTCAACAAGAGGGGTGGTGCGGTGTTCCCCATTAACAGGGCTCAATTAAAAGGCCATTTTGTGTGTGAAACCACAGCCCTCTGTATTGATCCTGCCTTGGGGTCACTGACTTGTGTGAATAGAAGCGCCATTTTCTGCCCTCGCTGGGACATGTGATGTGAAGTAACTCTTTGGGGTTAATTAGAAGAGTGAACTGCTTTCTACTTCTTTTTTTTCTTGTCTGTTTTTTGTTTTTCTTTGCCGACTGATAGGTTGATGCAGGTGGGAGAGGAATTCTGCGGCAGCAAGTCTGAGGTGTTGCAAGAGTCCATTAAGAGACAGAGTGTAAACTACTTTAAGAACTATCACAGGTAAGATAAAAAGCCCATTGCCAAACTGACCTCAGTTGCAAGAGCGATTCACTAAAAATAAATAGAGTGCTGTAGTGATTATGTATTTTTCTAGGGTTATTGCAGACTGAGAGTTCTGTGACCAGCATCTTGCACAATTTGTTCATCAACATAATATTCATGAAATTAACACAACTTTAAATTAATTTTGGAGCTTAAATACAATTGCCAGATGTAAAAATGTGATGATACATTGATGTGTAAAGACACAAAACGTTCAGTCTGTGTCTCTCAATCTCTATCTCTCAAATGGACCATTGACACTCTATCTACAATCTCAATTAGGAGTGTCAATGGTCCATTTGAGAGATAGGTAGCGGTAATCCACACATAAGTCTGTGATCATCCGCCGTAAAGCAAGAAGAAGACGCGTCACGCGCCGGCTGTCGTGGACGCGCTCAGGACAGTTCAGACAGTTCAGACATTGTAGTGCATCAGAGGTAAAGAACGATATAAATACTGTTCAGTTTCATGCACAGACCGATCGTTTCGTGTCTTTACACATCAATGTATAGTCACGAGACGCAGAGTTTAATCTTCTTGCTTTACGGCAGATCGCAGACTTATAAGTGCATTACCACAACCTATCTCTCAAATGGACCATTGACACTCTATCTACAATCTCACTTAGGAGTGTCAATGGTCCATTTGAGAGATAGGTTGTGGTAATGCACTTATAAGTCTACGATCCGCCGTAAAGCAAGAAGAAGACACGTCACGCGCCGGCTGTCATAAACAAAGTCACCTACATATTGGATGCCCTGGGGATAAGATAAACATACAATTTTAATTTTTGGGTGAACTATCCCTTTAATGTCCCCATCCCCGACAAGCTCAGTAGTCCCATTTAGCCCCTTGTTAGTGACTGCCTTTTTCAAGACACATAAAAGTTTTTAAAAAATCATGAGTGGTTTTATGTTGTAGAACAAAATGTGAAAATATCTTGAGCGTTTCTTGCACAGACCGATCGTTTCGTGTCTTTACACATCAATGTATCGTCACGAGCCGCAGGGTTTAATTTGGTTTTGTTTATGTTTTTTTTTACTCAAAGCCTTGATTCCCATCCACTTCCATTATAAGATTGACAGACTGCAACGGTTTGAGTTAAAAAAATGTCATTTGTATTCTACTGAAGAAACAAAGTCACCTACATCTTGGATGCCCTGGGGGTAAGCAGATAAACATAAAATTTTCATTTTTGGGTGAACTATCCCTTTAATGTCCCCATCCCGACAAGCTCAGAAGTCCCATTTAGCCCCTTGTTAGTGACTGCCTTTTTCAAGACACATAAAAGTTTTTAAAAAATCATGAGTGGTTTTATGTTGTAGAACAAAATGTGAAAATATCTTGAGCTTGTGTTAACCCCCCCAGGATGTAGAAAGTCCAAAAATGCGAGTTTCCAGGTTTAAGTACTTAATCCCGCAGCACTGTATTGTGGCCACTGATAGTGTTGTTTATTTGTTCATGCTGTTTTAGTGCTGAATTTACTAATTAAACATGCAAATGATTTAACACTGCACACATGCCTAAACAATCTGGATGTTTTCAATGTCACAATATTCCTGTAGCTCTAAATATAGCATTGCACTAGCAATAGCCAAGGCCATATAGGATCAATTCCCAGGAAATGGAAGAAATTATAAAAAGTGATGTAGATATAACTATAATAACTACATCATACCCTCTTTGTGATAGTTGTAAATCACATTTATACATTATGACAATATTTATGATAGTGTTGTTTATTTGTTCATGCTGTTTTAGTGCTGAATTTACTAATTAAACATGCAAATGATTTAACACTGCAAACATGCCTAAACAATCTGGATGTTTTCAATGTCACAATGTTCCTGTAGCTCTAAATATAGCATTGCACTAGCAAATAGCCAAGGCCATATAGGATCAATTCCCAGGAAATGGAAGAAATTATAAAAAGTGATGTAGATATAGCTATAATAACTACATCATACCCTCTTTGTGATAGTTGTAAATCACATTTATACATTATGACAATATTTCATATTTGCTTTGTGCTTGAATATATCTAAAAGCTAGGTTGTAGAAAACAATCATGTGATTAAGTACCTGTCACGTATTCAAGCCTGAAAATGTGTTCAGATTTCTACGTTGAGACTAGAATGATGAGAGAATAGCCATTTGGGGCTTTGTTCACACTGCTGGAAAATTGGATTTGATTTTTAAATTTGATCTACAGGACTGATTCTCCATATTGTCTATGTACAAGTGTTCAAATCTGATTTTGTGGTCTGTATCCTGTGCATCTGCATCAGTTGCTATAGTAATGATATATCTCAAACCAATGCCGAGAGACAACAACTGTGAGTAGCTGTCAATGAAAGGTTGGAAAACTAGTAAATTTACCTCAATTTGCTCATGTCTTTCACAACATCTCATTGTGCATTCAAGCATATACTGTCCAAAACTGCTGACTCATTCACTAAACATTGAATGTTGTGTAGTTCACTAGGAAAGAATGAGTGTAAGAGTATATTCAGATAGAGATAGAGTATTGTGGACTATGCATGTTCCCAATCATAAAAGAACACTTGAAATGCATTCCAAAAAAAATAGGGGTTTGTAAATATTAATGTGAATTAATGTGCTTTCTGGTGATTACGCTACAAACAACTATAGTAATTTGAGTCAGTTCACCAAACAATCAGATGTAGCTGTCTGTCTAAACAAAGCCGAAATATCCATCCCTGCTGCTGTAGTCAGCATTACAAAGACCTTTTCTGCTTGATGAGATGGAGGACGTTGAAAGAGGGCATCTTACCATTATTTCTGAATATTCAAGCAGTTGGATAGCATTCATAAAGCGATTATCTGTCAGTCCTCTAAATGCTTAATCTCTGCTGTCACTGCGTCACCATTAACACATTGTGCCATTACAATATATATTGTGCCCTCTGGCTTAGAGGACAAAACAGATTCGTTTCTCCTTTTAGTGTTGTAAATTTGAAGCATTTAAACATATCATGGATTGAAGACATGACTAGAGATGGTATTTAAAATGTCAAACACTTCATTTGAGTCTAGACAGCTCATCCCACCTTATGATCATGTGAACTGCCGGTATGTTCTTTAGAGATTAGTGGTGGACTTCCACTTTGTGCTTACGTGGCGTTCAGCATGAATTATAATTTTTGATGTTGACATTTTGTGCAAGGCTGCTGGCATTGACCTTGTCTGGCAGCGAGCCACTTTGACACTCATTGTAGCATGACTTGCTCTAACCTTCTTCACTGATCGACTTTTTCTTGAACTGTTTTGCCAGCCCATTTCTTTTTTTAGTGAGTTGAATGGCAAAAGGGTCTTCAGTTGACAAAAGCCAACCTCTTGTCATTTCTCCTTGTACCACTGCAGAACCCGCCTGGAGGAGTTGCGAATGTTTCTTGAAAATGAAACATGGGAGTTGTGCCCTGTGAAGTACAACTTCAGTATTGCCCAGCTTCACGTAAGTCCTAATGCCACAAATAAGACTTTGAAATGCAGCAATGTGACTTTTATTCATGACTGATCTCGACCAACTGGCATCGCTGGCAGTCTTTGGGGATTTCACATTTGCATATGAAGATGAGGCGGAGAGCTTTTGTTCTGTGCGTGCTTCGCAATGACAATCAACACATGGCTACAAGCCAAAGGCACTTGAACATGCTTTCTTACATAACAAGCGCTGTTCATAGACACATTCTCATGATTAGCAGGTCAAAAAGTATTCATGTGAGCAATGCAGGAAATTAGATCAGTCCACGGTGGGTGGTTTTCTAACCAAACAGAAGGCGTTTTTGTAGATCATCTTCCTTTGGCTTTGCTATCTTGCCGTAATGGAGCACTTTTATATGCATTTTAAATCTCAGGAAAGGCTTGACAACTTGATGAATGAGGGTAAGCATCATCACTGATTGTATTCCAACATAAGCTGTTTTCTCTTCTAGTCAGGGTGTCATCCGTCTCAAAACAAATTACAACCTGGAAAGCAAGTATATTCACCCAAGAGTATCTGTAGAATAAACCGAAATGCATCTCTTTCAATTATTATATGCTAAACAGGGTCTTTGGCTCGATAAAGTGTTCTCTGATATACCTTTTATGCTGTTTTGTGCAGAATATACAGGTGTTTTCTCAAAAGAAGTGCCACTAGTTTTGTGTGGTAGAGAAAGTTGGTGTTGAATAGCACATCAGTGAATGGCATAATCAGTGGTGTTCTTTAATGAGCCACATTTGCATAACGGCTTCTTGTTGGAGCTTTAATGTGCAAAGCGGTTTAACTGTGAGAAGCTTTTAGGTCACTTAGCGCTCAAAGCTTTTACACTTTCACCCTCGCAGCTTAATTGTTCATTTAAAAAATATATATATATATATTAATGAAAATTTAGCAGAATTCGCTTCTTTTTAAGTATTTGTTTTAAATCAGAATTTGCAATTTAATATTAAACAGAAAACCTAAAGGTTTACTGAAGTACTTTGAAACAATCTGCGTTATTTTGTGTTGATGTAATTTTAGCTGAAACAGGAAATAGCCAGTAGCATTCCGTTATATTAGCTTGGGCCAGAGCCGTTGAGCTCGGTAAAGCTGCATTTGCCACAATCTCATCCATATCGCAATCAAATATGGCATTCTGTGTAGAATTTAGATTGATCCGATGCGTTTTATGGTCTGCCGATTTGTGCAATCAAAGCATTTGATTGGACAGAAAGTTTGATGAGAAACTGAAGTGCAGGGTGATGTCATCAAAATTGTTGATCCATATTGGTAGAAGTTAGAGACTGTTAGTTTTGAATGCTTATATCTTTTAAATGCAAATGTTGTTGTTATTTTAGAGCACACTAGCTTATATATAACCTTAAGGCTAACATATTCATACTAAATGCCAAAAAACTTCAAATTTCACCGGGACTTTAAGGCCCTAATATACTAACAATGTTCTTTGCTTCAGGGTAAAAAGAAGTTTGAAATACCTCTGATGAATATGTAAATATATGTCGTGTGCTTTCCTCTCAATAATAAAGTAAAAATACAACAAAATGGAGAGTGGTGAGAAAATAGCAGTTAAGAAAGCATCATATCATAACGTTGTGGATATGTTTGCACCAGCTCTGCAATTTGGCACTTCAGTCAAGTCATGTCAAATCACATTTATTTATAAAGCACATGTAAAAACAGTGTCCATTTCTGCTATAAAGCAGCTTGCCAGAGTGTTCATGTTTTTACTAGCAAGCTGTATCGACTGTAAAAAACTGTTTTGGCCTGATTTTGTTCAAATTAATGTCACACTCTAGTTCATTCGTCAATTTTGCTTGAAGTATATTGGGGCCTTTAGAGCTACTTTTTTTGTCTCCTCCTTGGATATTCAACCAGCACAAACAATTAAATTAAACCTAGCCCACCTAATCTCCACATAGCCTACTTTTTTTTAGCTTTTGATCTGTATGATATTAAATCTGATATATTTGTTTTGTTTTCCCCTTTTTCAGGAGTTCAAGTTCATGGGTCAGTGTCGTTCTCCTTCAGTATCTCCCAGCAGGCAGCCGGAATCCATAGAGCCGGTGGAGCTTTCTCTGTTTGAGCAGTACCTACAGGGAGGAAATCCTTTTGAGATGCAGATAGACAATAAGGAAGAGGAGACAGAAGATGTCCTGGCTTCTAATGGGGTATATAGTAGTTTAAGAAACATTATTGTCATTCAGAGCAACATGAACAGTAGGTTCTAAAAATATATGTCAAATTACAGTAAATTCCAACTATATGAGAGAAAAAAGGTGTCTGATTTTTCACAGACGTTTTGTTTTGAATCTTTCAATGTAGGTCAATTTTTACATTTTTCATTTAATATAATTTAAAGGGGTCATCGCATGCCCATTTTCCACAAGTTGATATGATTCTTTAGGGTCTTAATGAAAAGTCTATACCATACTTTGGTTAAAATTTCTCAGTGGTAGTGTAAAAAAATCACCCTTTTTACCTTGTTAAAATGAGCTCATTTCACAGCAACCTGTTTTGTTGCATTTCCCTTTAAATGCTAATGAGCTCTGCTCACCCCACCCCTCTCTTCTACTTTAGCCGCATTTAGCTGCATTTAGCGACGACACTTGCTAACTAGCACGTTATTAGGAAAGGCGATTTGCAAAGAATCATAAAAAACCCTTATACACACTTCATCTGTAGGTAAAGCTGGATCACGAATGATTCACATCAGAGTGACGTCACACAATCAAGAAACTGAGAATGGCTTGATTTTAAAAAGGGGATATTATTTATAGAGTTTTAGCGACGACACTTGCTAACTAGCACGTTATTAGGAAAGGCGATTTGCAAAGAATCATAAAAAACCCTTATACTCACTTCATCTGTAGGTAAAGCTGGATCACGAATGATTCACATCAGAGTGACGTCACACAATCAAGAAACTGAGAATGGCTTGATTTTAAAAAGGGGATATTATTTATAGAGTTTAAAAAAATACCACTCAGTGGATTTTTATCATTATAGGGTGGTTGTGTGCACACACTACCAACACACATTTGTTCAAATAACATGTAAAAGTGAGTTTTGTATCTGATGACCCCTTTAATAAGTTTTCTTCCAATTTTTGCCTGAGAAAAATTTCAGTGCATCTCTTGTATATGGATAAATTCCAGTAATTTCTAGACCATTTAAACTCTTGAGTCCTCTATATTTAAATATTTTCCTACAATATGAAACAGTTCAACAATATTTATGCTGTACTATTTGGCATCAGGCTTGAGCAAACACGCATTTCATAAGGGTTTACGGTTACATTTATATTCTTATTCTTCTTATTAGATGCTTGCCAAACCGACTGGTGAAAAGGAGAAAATAAATGAGTGAAAATGTGATGCGTAAATATTTTGTAACGTTAAGTGGCTCATTGTCCTTATAACTGTTGACAGAGGCCATTAGTTCTATGTGGAGAAAACACTCATCATTATTAAAGCTCTGATGTGCTTGGCGTCTCTGATGATGCTCCTGTAATGAAAACAAAAGCTGTATGTTGATGACAGAGTGCGAGCCCTTGGTACAAGTGCTTTTACCCTGAGAGAGAACAAAGTGTTTTGCATAGTAATGCCTGCCATTTTAAGTATTCCATGCTGTTTTGTTAGTCACTACATCCATCAGCTTTAAGGTAAATTTGTAAGGTTAGACATTTATGTTTACATTTATCTATGTTGGATCTGCATCACGTTTTTGACACTGGTGCATTAAAGGCCTTTTATTTCAAGGCCAGCTCTGAATCTCAGAGAATTAAAAGGGTTAGTTCACCCAAAAATGAAAATTCTGTCATTAATTACTCACCCTCATGTCATTCCAAATCTTTGGAACACAAATTAAGATATTTTTGATGCATCCTGTGAGCTCTCTGATGTGGTGTTTTCGTTCAAATCAAAGTGCAAACAACGTAGAAAATGTATCCGCATGGCGCAGCTGACACAGAACAGCATACGCTGTTTACATTCAGTGGATCGTCGCCTCCTTGCGCTCGCGGTTAGCTTTCTTTTCAGAAAGTTACTCCACCCCTCGCACCCTCCCGTTTTCTTCCTCTCAGGAGCATGTGGGGAAAAAACAGCGGGGCAGAGGATCGCAGCGCTCGGATGAGGCTTCCCCGGTCCTCTTCACCCAGCCTGACCAGCGTCCCTCTGCCAACGCAAGCGATCTGGTCTCGTTCGATGGGAGTGATTACGAGCTGCTGGATGACAGCATGTCATTAGCAGCCTCGGACGCGGAGGACCTGTCGGGCTCGACTGCCGACCCCGCCCCCCTGCCGTCGTTCGAGCCCAGGGACGTTAGACCCGGAATTGATACTGAATTACTCCGTGTCCTCTCAAAAGCCATCGAGGAGCTGGGATTGGAGGGCTTTCCACCGGAGGAGCCCCCCCGCAGCTGTCTGGACAAGTGGTTCCTGCCGGGGCGCTGTCAAGCCCCTCGTCAGCGATCCACTCCTTTTTTCCCCGGAGGTCCATGACGAGCTCACCAGGTCGTGTCGCGCCCCATACTCTGCATGTCTCCGTACTTCCGCTTCATCCGCCCTCACTTTGGTGGACGGCGCTGAAGATACGGGGATACGAGAAGCTGCCTCCGCTGGATGAGTCAGTGGCCGCGCTTCTCTGCCCGCCCACTGCTATTGGCTGGAAGGCAAAGGCCGCCCATCCGTCCAAACCGTGTAGGACGACTTCAGCCCTCACTGGATGCGCCTACTCCTCGGCTGGGCAAGCGGCCTTGGCGCTCCATTCAATGGCGGTCCTCCAGGTCTTCCAGGCCAAACTCCTCGCCAGCATGGACGAGTCTGGCCCAGACCCAGCGACGCTCAAGAGAGCTGAAAAGCGCAACGGACCTGGCTTTGCGCGCCACCAAAGCTACGGCTCAGGCTATAGGGCGTTCCATGGCCAGTCTGGTGGTTCTCGAGCGCCACTTATGGCTGATCATGATGGAAATCAATGACGCCGACAAAGTTCCCTTCCTTGATGCTCCGGTCTCCCCCACCGGTCTGTTCGGCCCAGTGGTCAAAGGCTTTGCTGAGCGTTTCACGGAGGCACAAAAGTCGGCCCAAGCCATGCGACACTTCTTACCAAAACGCTCTAGCTCTGCAGCTGCTTCTAGTCACCCCAAGTCTGTGCCGACTCAGCAGCCTGCGAAGTCTGCACCTGCGGCTGCCGCCGCCACCCAGCCAGCCAAGCCTGAGTCTCGATGACGTTCCCACTCGGTCAAATGCTACCCGTTTCCGAAGCGCCAGGAACCCTGGCCCAAGATAGCGCTGGACCCTGCTTCTGATCTACGGGACAGAAAGAGGAGGATGGGGCCAAGTCTTTGGTGTGTTTGCTGCAAACTCTAGGCCCGTTCAAGCGCCCAAGCAGCGATCTGCTGTCATAGCGGGCAGATTAAAACACAAACATTTTCAAAAAGAGAGCAGATTTCCTCTTCCATTTCTCACTAGTACTGTGTCCCTTTGCAGCGACCAGACACTCGAACCAATCCAACCCCTGACTTCCCAGGCCGAGGCATGGCAAGCCATCCCCGAAGTATCAGAGTGGGTTCTGAGGATAATAAATCAAGGCTATTCAATTAAATTTGCTCGAAGACGCCCACATTTCAGCGGGGTGTTCCCCACTTCAGTTCAGAGCAAGGACGTGCACGTGCTGCGCTCCGAAGTGAAAAATCTGCTGGCAAAGGGAGCCATAGAGACGGTTCCTCCAGCTCAGATTGAGTTAGGCTTCTACAGCCGTTACTTCCTCGTCCCCAAGAAGGATGGCGGTTTGTGGCCCATCCTCGATCTCAGACGCCTGAATTGCGCCCTCATGAAACGGCTGTTCAGGATGACTACACTGAAGCAGATCCTCTCGCAAATCTGCCCAGAGGACTGATTCTTTTCTCTGGACTTGAAAGACCCCAGACTATTCTTGTGATTTGCCTTCAAGGGAGTGGCTTATCAATACATGGTCCTTCCCTTTGGACTGTCCCTGGCTCGACGCACTTTCACGAAGTGCATGGATGTGGCTCTTTCCCCTCTGAGGCAGAAGGGAATCCGCATTCTCAATTACCTCAACGACTGGTTTGTTCTGGCCCAGTTGGAGGCAGAGTCGCTATTTCACAGAGCCCTCCTCCTAAGCCACTTAGAATGTCTGGGGCTCAGGGCCAATTTTGCCAAGAGTCCCCCAGCCAACGAGTATCGTTCCGGGGAACAGTGTTAGACTCAACCCAAATGAGCGGTGGTCACAACAGAGCGTGCTCTGGTCATACAGCAGCTCACAGCTTCCTTCAAGGTCGGTGTCTCTCGCCCCCTCAAGGTGTTTCAAAAGATGCTGGGCCTTATGGCCCCAGCGCCTCCAGTGCTACAGTTGGGCCTGCTTCATCCCTGATGGTTAAAAAAATTTGGGTGATCTTTGGCAAGGCAAAAGTTAAGCTTTTTGCCTCAAAAGACAACTCTCATTGCCCAATTTATTATTCCAACGACAAGGACGTGTTGGCCCATTACTGGCCCAACCTCCTTCTCTATGTTTTCCCCCCGATCGCCCTGATCCTGCAGGTAATCAGACGAATCAGGGAACAAGAATGCAAGGTTCTTCTGGTGGCCCCGCTCTGGAGAAACCAGTATCGGTTATCAGAGCTGTCGCAGCTGCTCATAGCAGCCCCGTGGCCCGTTCCCCTGAGGCGGGATCTCCTCTCTCAGGAGAACAGGATGATATAGCACCCCTGGCCCCGAGCTGTGGGCTCTGCAAGCCTCCCAGAGTGTTTTCTAAACACCATTTCTCAGGCTAGAGCTCCATCTACAAGACGTCGTTTTCTCCACCTGGTACTTAACCCACGGCGAGGACCCATCCGTCTGTGACGTATCGGTGATATTGTGTTTCCTGCAGGAGCTGTTAAGGGGCGCTCCCCATCCACGCTCAAGTTCTATGTAGTAGCTATAACGACTTATCATGTCCCTATAGCAGGCCAGTCTGTGGGCAGAAACAACTTTGTTGTCTGTTTTCTGAGGGGGGCTAGGAGGCTGAATCCGCCCCGTCCCCTCACTGTCCCTATGTGGGACCTGCCCACTGTTCTGAGGGCCCTGAAGTGTCCTCCCTTTGAGCCGCTGCAGTCTGTTGACCTTCGGTCCCTGTCGTTGAAAACCGCTCTGCTGCTAGCATTAGCATCGGTCAAACGAGTGGGAGACTTACAGGTGCTCTCTGTGAGCCCTACCTGCCTGGAGTTTGGGCCTGGTGACTCTAAGGTCGTCCTGAAACCGAGGCATTGTTATATGCCCAAGGTGCTCTTTACTCCGTTCCGGGCACAGGTCATTACATTCTCTGCACTTCCTCCCTCAGAAGAGGACCAGAAGTTGAATTTACTCTGCCCCGTCAGGGCGCTGAAAGTTTACATCGAATGCTTCGCCCCGTTTAGGCAGTCTGAACAGCTCTTTGTTTGATTCGGTGGCCGCGCTGAAGGGCATCCGGTCATGAAGCAGAGACTTTCTAAGTGAATAGTTGATGCTATTATGCTAGCCTACTCTTCCTTGGGCCTGCAATTCCCCATTGGAGTACAAGCCCATTCAACTAGAGGCATCGCCTCTTCTTGGGCATGGTCTAGCGGCGTGTCCATTGCAGAAATTTTTGAGGTGGCCGGTTGGGCCTCGCCGTCCACATTTGCTAGGTTTTATAACCCGGTCGTCCCTGCCTTGCACGCTAGAGTTCTTTCTGCATAACTGGCACACACCTGCTTACACAGTTCAACACGTAACATGCTCAAACCCATCAGAGGATTTACTTGTGCACTCTCGGCCCTCATAGGCGCCGGGGCTGTGCAAATCTTCTGGAACGGTCACTCAGACCGGGCGTGACCTCTGTGAGCTTAGCTTGTTCGCCTTGGGAGGTGTTTACTATTCTTGTCCCCTTGGGCCCTGAGGTGCCTAGGGCAAGGTTACACATGTAGTCATTCCTCTGCCATAGCACGGCGTGATTGTACTGGTTCCCATAGCATCTTAGCAGACGCAGTACGAGTGAAGTATCAATAGGGAACGTACTCGGTTACAAACATAACCTCGGTTCCCTGAGATACGGGAATGAGTACTGCGTTGCTAGCCGTGCTATGCAGCTGCACGTCTCAGTCGTTGCTTCAGTCAAAGTAACGTGAATCCTATGGCGAAGTGCCCACTTATATAGCCAGATGGCCCCACCCATTCTGGCGGGCTTCTTGGCCATAGGTTCATGCAGCACCGCTGCCGAGCCATTGGTTCATTTTTAAAGTGTACTGCACGAATCAATGGCCGTGCAGTTACACTGCGTTATTGAAAAAGACTTCAGTTCAGGAGAAAAATGACTTTCCCATAGCGTCTTAGCAGACTCAGTACTCGTACCCATATCTCAGGGAACCGAGGTTACGTTTGTAACCGAGTATGTAGACTTCTCAGCCATCTCCCAGTCCAGCTAAGCTGATTTTCAGATGGTTTTGGTGGTCTGTTGGAAGAAAAGTGTTGGTCTGTTATTCAAAAGAAAAGCATTTATTGTAATTTTGAAATTGAAATCTTTTGTAATATTTTAAAATTCTTCACTTTAAAATCAATTAAATAATTTTTTTCTGAATGAAAGTATTTAAAAACAGTTTGAATGGTAGTGTATGTATATTTTTGTCAATTTTTGGCTTTTATGACTCATTCTGGTTTTCCGTTCTGTTTCCTTTCTCTGCAGTATGAGTCAGATGAGCTGGAGAAGAGTGTGTATCAGGACTACGACAGTGACAGTGATGTACCTGAGGAGCTGAAACAAGACTATGTAGATGAACAGACTGGAGACGCTCCAGTGAAGAGGTCAGTACTGAGTCATCATCCAGATGCTCACGTCACACAGGACCACCTCTAGGTTCTGTATACTAAGTAATTGCCCACCAAATGGTATGTCGACAGTTAGTTTTGCATATGCATGGTTTGATTGGTGTCCTGTTTGCATGTTTTCATAAATTAGTGTGCTGTAGATCCAGGTCGCACATGAATTGGTTCATTAACCCAAGACAAGGTCAGGAGGCAGCAAAATTCTCGTTTATGGACTCTTGTTCCCTCTCAGGCAGCAGAAATAGTTTAAATTCACACTGTGTACAGTGAACACACAAGCTATCATTAGCCTCTGATCAGCAAGAAAGGTTTTAATTATTTTATGAAGAATGAGCCTTTTAAGTCCACAAGGCTGTTTAGAGCCATTCGGGGCTTTGAAGTTTAATAAAACGGTCTCAAGGAGATTGTTAAAATGGCTCCTTTTGGAATTACATCACATGGTTGGTTTTTTCCAACTACATGAGTGGGCAAACTGGTATTTTTTACATTTCCTAATTGCTCTTGACTTGGTCTCCGTGTCTAAGTGTAATAGAAATATCATAAATCAAGGAAATGATTAGGAATGTGATTAAGTAGTGAACCCTGATGAATATTTAATGCCTGTTTGTTGCTCACGAAGATGACTGACAGTTCTCCCTGCAGTAAATCAGCTGGCACATCCCATGTTGTGACACTTCATTGTTAGAGACTGCCACATTTTGAGGGCTCTAACGTTTTGCATATTTAAAATGACATACGCTTTCTTAAACGCAATACGGTGACTCTTGCTCACAATCTGTGACTTCAGTGCTTGTTTAGAATACATCTGGAATATTCTGGGTTCAAGACAATTTAAGCTCTGTTGACTGAATTTGTGTTGATAATGATTATCACCACAGAAGTAATTTCAACTTGCCCCTCATTTTCTTTAAAAAAGCAAAAATGGAGGTTTTAGTGAGGAACTTGCAATTCAGTCATATTCAGTTAGGGTTTATGGCAGTGCATTTTCATGGCTATAAAGTTACAAACTTGGATATAACTTTACACAGAAATGGTTGGCAAATAAATTTGTTCATGTTAAAGTCATGTTAGCACACATATTGTGCATATGATCTGTGATAAATATCATACAATCATCTGTTCTGCAAAATTCAGAACACTCACTTCAGTTAAATCTGAACCCAGGTTAATGACGGAAGTGTGTGAATGAGACTCTTTAGTTTTAAAGGTCATTGAACTCTAATGCACCTAATAATCCTGGATCTCAGTGTCCCTGCTCTGTCCTCCCTTAATTAGCGTGTCCAGAGAGACACTTCGCAGCCAGAAGAGGTCCGACTACAATCTGAACCGAGCCAATGCCCCCATCCTTACCAATACCACCCTCAACGTGATTCGCCTGGTTGGTGAGTAATTGACCTTTGAGCTTACACCCATGCAAGACTGATGGTGCATGATAAAGTTGACCCTAAGCAGAAGACCACAGTTTGACCTCTAATTAACATGCTAATAGCTCAATTACTATGAAAGAGGTGCGTTCTTGGAGTCATCGGTGTTCTGTTTCAGCTTCCGGTCATTAACTCCATTCTGAGCATGTGCCTGCTCATCTCTTCAGGTTCATTTGAACGCTTGCTTGATGTGTTGAATGAGATAAAGGCTATGACACCATTCATCTTTAAATGTTCAGTGTAAGGCAAACAGAATCTAAATGCAAAAACATGCTGTCATGAACCCATGGTTGTACATTTTATTTTTGATAAAAGTGCTGATTTTGTGAAATGGACAATTTAGGTGGTTTCAAATGTTTTGCCAAAATCAGCTGGAGTACTTTTTACATCCAGATGTTAAAATTGATTAAACACCATCTGGTAACTTCATCAGTATTTTAGAAGACATCCATTTTGTTGATTAGTAAAATTTGGAGCCCTTTAAATTATTTTAGGGTAAGAGGAGAGAAAATGTCCATTTACTCACCTCCATGTCGATCAAATGACAAAAAAAATATTTATATATATATATATATATATATATATATATATATATATATATATATATATATATATATTTAAAAAGTTAAAAAGGTATTATATTTTAAATATGGCACAAAGGCTTTGAATGGCACATTTGCCAAGGTATTGCATTTCAGTTCTGTATATCTACATTATTTGCATTCATATATCCCTACGTTTTTGGTTTTATATTCTGTATGTGAATCTTATTTGTTTGCCTTTCATATATATTTCACTTTTTTTTCCTAATTGATTTTGCTTTTATAGGAAAATACATGCAGATGATGAACATTCTGAAGCCCATCGCCTTTGATGTCATCCACTGTGTGTCTCAGCTCTTTGATTATTACCTGTATGCTGTCTACACCTTCTTTGGCCGCAATGATATGGTATGCATTTCAAAGCATTTTTGTTCCCCTCCATGTTCGTTGTTAATTCTTAACATTATGCAATATTTATTATGTACAATTGGATCCTTGCTGTGCTATGTTGGGTATTTTCTCTGAATGGTACATGTTCATTAAGAAAAGCATGCCAGTACACTCATTGTTTTTTCCTCTAGTGTTTGCAAGCCTCATGGGCACTGTTATATAATTACTTCCATTATCATGTGAGCAAGTGTTTAGGCGTAGAGTTTGCCTCAAGAGGCTGGACTCTGAACATCAAAGAAAGGTGTAAATGTCTGAACGAATTCTCAGTCGCTTATTTGCACTATTTCTAAAAATTAGGTTTGCAGTAGTAATTTAACTCTACTGTAACTTGAAATCTAACTTGCTTTCACAAATAGATAGATGTGCTTCAATGACCCTTGAGAGTTTTGGATAGAGAAAGTTGTGCCTGCAGAAGTTCATGTCTAGAATTGTTAAGTGATTTCAATGCAGACCTCTCTATAGGCTTGTTCCCTCAAGCTACAGTTCTCAAAGCTTTAATAAGCACAGCTTTAGGCTAGATGAATCAGTTTTGAGAGCCGGGCCTTCCTAAATAAAATTAGACAGCAGCTCAGTAATCCTCATAATTGTCACTCTTTGAGACTCAATAAGCCGTTTTTGAAGAGTCTTCAATGCCTTCGCCACAACAGCAATATCCCACAATATACCGCACTTTAGCAGCTCCATAGAAAACAGCTTGTTTCTTGCTCCCTAGAGCACTCTGGTTACTTTCTGTGCACTGTCCCAAATGACCTTACAACTAAGCCACCTCTTCTGCCCAAACGTTACTAGAATAATGAATTTTACACGGAGTTGCCTTGTTTGCTTTGATTTCCCAGAAGTCTGACTCAAGCCGTTGCAGGTAAACTGGCAAAGACCCCCACTAGTTGCAGGGCAGCCATTTTAGCTCCTTAAGACTCTGGTAACATAGTAAGGGCATTGTTAAAATAGTCCATGTGACACCAGTGGTTCAATCATAATTTTATGAAGCTACGAGAATACTTTTTGTGCCCAAAGAAAACATAACGACTTTATTCAATGATTTCTTCTCTTCCAGCTCAGTCTTCACCGGTTGATTTTAAATAAATCAGTTTAATTTTAAAAATGAAAATGAAAACCAGATTAACAATTTCATTATAGAAAACTATATGCAAAATATGTGCCAAAATTGAAAATGAAATGAAATTATGTAATTTTTATTTTCACCGTGACTATGCATTGTCCCTGACAAATTGAAAAATAAAATGCAGTTGGTGATTTGATATTTCATTTGCACTGCAATCTCGAGGCAAAGCTGCCAATCTTAAAATATAAAGGCAAACGTGAAAAAGAAAATGCAAATACAGTTTTTACAAAGCTTTTTATTAATGCTCACATAATAATAGTGACACAATTCAAATTAAAATGTAAAGTTTATTTTTCGTTTTTATTTTCCAAGTCAACTTATATGCAAAGTCTGTGTTGATCAGGGGGGCGGGGTTTATTGTTCGCGCAACGTACAGAGGCCCGTTCCCACCACAGTTAAGTAAAAAATATATGATTCTGTAAGTCATAATAATGAGAAACGCTCTCATATTAATGACTTAATATCTCATAATAACTCTTGTATCAGTGAGAAACTGTCTATTACTTCTATGCATGTGCCAAGCAGCGGAGCAGAAGGGAGCGGCACGCTAGCAACACCTGCTGGTCAAACGTTCACAGTTCACAGTTCAAACGTTCAGTTTTGGCACATATTTTGTGTATAGTTTTCTATAATGAAATTGTTAATCTGGTTTTCATTTTTATAATTAAATTGATTTATTTCAAATGGGCAGAAAATGCCTTCCATATACTACGTTTTTGGGCCTTGAACATGGTAGTTCCAGTGCTGTCTATGCAGGGTCAGAAAGCTCTCCTATTTCATCAAAAATATCTTAAGTTGTGTTCCTAAGATGAACGAAGGTCTTATGGGTTTGGAACGACATGAGGGTGAGTAATTAACGACAGCATTTTCATATTTGGGTGAACTAACCCTTTAAGGTTTGAGCCTGTCAGCTATCCTAACATGGGACTCCCGTTTGTCAGACCTTTGTGAAGTAAAGCCTCATTTCATTGGCATCATCTGCTGCTCAAATGGGTCCATGCCTCTACCTCTGAAAACTGACAATGTGACTTTCCTTCCCAGGAAGTTTGAGAGTTTCAGGACTGCCTTGCCTACTTCATAAATTCATGGGCCTTTTGAACACTATTGCAGGTGTAAATGAATTCCTGAGTGCAGAGGGAGTGACATTGAAGGGGCATTGAATTTTCTTACTGTTTTCCACCTATGTGAGCTGGGAGAATCTGTTGAGCAAGCAAGCTTGTTAAACAGCATTGGAGGCCATAATAAAGCTGTTGGTTGGGGCATTGGTTTGGCAGTGGCAGCCCAAGGGCATCTGGCTGAACCTGTTAAAGACAAGAACTTCCTGCTGTTCTTGGACTTCTGTTCTTGGATTTTCAGACCTCTACTGCCTTGCAAACAGACCTCAACATTTGCATCTTCCACCTTGTTTCACAGCTGCGCTTACTTACCCAGCTCACTGTTGACCACCTCAAAAAGATGTTCATTCTTTGTAGTCTTCAAGAAGCCATGAACTTTTTCTCTGGGAAGCAGAAGCTGAACAGTTGGATCCTTAGCGTGCTAATAACATTATTCAGTTCCTTTGTTTCATTGTTTATATCCTGACATTCTTGAGAACTATACAACAAAACTAAACCTATCAATAATACCAGCCTGTCAGTATAGGCTTTGATTAGCCTGACCAGTGACTTGCCGTTTTCTAAATGGAGTGTATGGCCTTCATCAACTGTAAAATAGTGTTTCTGTCATGGAATTTGACAGTAGTCTTTAATCGTACCACACAAGACAGGTGGGGTTGAAGCATTTGTCTTATGAAACAAAAAGATCTCCACATTTCATTTCATTCAGCTGAATTCTGGTCCCAGTGATGCTTTTATGGGCAAACTCTCTACAGCCTACAGTGATTCCACCTTCCATGTTTTTTTTCTTCTGACATTTTTTTCATATTATCACAGAAGTGTTCCATTTGCACTCTGTATGCTTTGCAAATAATTGTTTGTTTGCTATGCTGAGCCAGTGCTAAATCAAAAGTAAATGCTTTCATGCTGGTGGATTGAGGCCAGTGCCATTGCACACTATAGAGCAGGAGTAAAGTCTTTGCACTCTATTTGGCCTTCACGTGTGGTTTAGCATCGTTATAAGTCATGATTTCACTTTCAAAGAAGAACATTCCTGGGCAGACATGGGCCACATACAAGGGTGTTTTAAAAACTGAAGGAAATGAGGGGCCCTGAGGAGAATTGAGCTTCTAGATGCATTGATCAGGACAGGGTTTCAAGTGTGAGCTGGATTTCCTGACTTGCTTTCTGAAGACCTGACTCATAATTCCACATATTTGGACACTTATATTTGAACAAGGCTTTGCTGATGTGCAAGATTGAACTTTAAGGACTTTTTAAGCCACTGCTGTTCATTGGAACTAATGCAAACAAGTGAGAAATAAGTCTTCTCCAGTTTGCCAAGCCAACGCTTTCCCCCCCCTGCATGCCCTCTGAGTGACAGTGTAGTGTATTATCTTTGATATTTAAGTGCTGACCACAGAACTTTTCACTTTAGCTTTGTCCTGACCAAATTCAGCAGAAAATCTGAGGGAGACTGGATACAACCGCCACAAGATCAGCTGTCAGATGCCAGTGAGGTTTGCCTTTAACCCACCTGACGGGTTTGAAGGCACATTAAATAAGACAACACATCTAATCTTTCTCTCTTGCTCTTGTTCTGGTTTTTGCACATTCACCTCTTCTGCTGATTGGACAGCAAGAGAGAAAGAGCATGAGAGGGGTTTCTGTCACTAATGGAAACTTTTCAAACTCTTAAATGAGTAAGAGTAGCTGTCAGTATCAGAGGCAGCCGGTCTCGAAGAAAAGCCGATGGAGACAAAAAAGTAAATATCATTACTTATAAAAAAATATTTACAAAGCGGCTGAAATTGATATGCTCATTTGGATTCACTTTTACCCATGACTAACTCCAAACACACAAGACATTCAATCTCATATGGAGATTATGTATTGCGCCATTTCATTTAGTAATGAACAACATTAGGATCTGAAAGGTCTGTACGCAATTGTATACAGCTGGAGTATCAACTCTGCCATGCACATAATTTAAGATGCATTGGTCTTGGCATTCATTGCTCTTTGCCTCAAGTTAATAACTTTGCTTAAAGGCAATGAATGGAAAGAACGGGGAACGATATGCAAGTGGCTTATCTGAAAATTGATCACCTCCAGGATGATGAAGCGCTTGAGTGTAGGGAAAGCCTGAGTAGTGCTTATTAAGTGTTGCAGATAGAGTTAGTAATGGACGGTAAGATGCAACTGTCACACTAACAGATGGGTCCTTTGGAAACTTTGCAAAAATGTTAAAGTCAGAGAAAGACTGCAGTTTTATTGTCCCCCTGGCAGCCATTTGTTCATTAAGTAAATGAAAGTGTTAAATTACACAATACTGTGCTTGCTGTAGTTTTGCTTGCACTAATGTGGTAGAAGTCAGTTTTCTTTAATGATTAAATGTGTTATTTAAATGTGTATATAAATGTGTCTTTTTAAAAAATGATTAAATGTGCTTAATGCTTTGCAGTAAAAATTCCCAGTAATTACCATATATAAAAAAAATCGTATCCAAAAAAGGCTTTTTTTGCTCTTTCATTATTTGCTTTGTGTCGATTTTCCTTTTTGTTTCTCAATACAAAGCACTTCCAATCTGCATCTCTGCCTTCACAAGGCTCTCAACCTGGTGCGTCCAGACCGGTGGTCCCTATCTATTGGGTAAGACTGCTGTGTGGAGCCTGCTGGCAGTAGAAATGCCTGCCACTGTGTGCTGTGTTTTCATCCCCTTACTCATATTTTATATATATATATATCATATCACGTTTTGTTATAATGCGTGGTTTGGATTTTGGAATTTTTGTATTTCTAACCATTGCGATGACACAGTGGTCACTGATGTCATTCGCAAATACAGATGCAGTTGAATACTTGTGCAGAACGTTTGTTAAAATTAAATCAATTAGAGATGATTTTTCTCGACATTTTAAATTCGGTCTAGTGGGACTGTCAACAATCTGAAAAAGTTTTAATGCATCGCAGTAGTTTTTAAATTCATCAGTTGGTGAATGCAACCAATTCCAATTTAAGTCACCAAGAACTACTAATTTTTTAGCATCAAGAATTAGTAGTTATCTAAGTCTTGAACCACACTCGTGGGAGCTGTGTGAATGAAGTGCAGCTTCCTGGAGATGATCGGTGGTGTGTGCACTCTGGAGCTTTAGAGATTGCATTTTATGAGTGTGTGTATTCCTGTATGATTGAAAAGCAATGAAGTCTCTTTCTCACAGGGGTGTGTTTTGTTGTCTCCTGTAGTATGAATCATCTGGGCTGGGTTTAATCAGCAGCAGACTGAGGACGACGCTTAGCCGAATCCAGGAGAGCCTAATAGACGTGGTGAGTAAAAACAAGGCACTTGTAATGCACTCTTTCTGTTTTATTTTTTCTCTGGCCATCTCACTCCTATGGTTCATCTCCTCTCTTGGCCTCTCTTATGTAACCATTACGAATCCGAGTGGAAATGGCAGTGTGCATTTATGTGAGTTCCCTATAGCCTCTCATCAGGCCTATCATCTCTTACCCCCTCTTACTTTCAGCTATAGTAGCCACAGGTGAGTTAATCACCATCAGTACACTTAAGGGCCTTTCGCACCGCAGGAACCTTTTCATAGTACCAGAACTAATTGTGGAACTACCCACTTTTCGGCGTGTTCGCACCACCGGAACTGGGAGCGATTTTTAGTACCGGACTGCCTTTTTCGAGAACCAAATTAGCTCCTACTCCGGAGCAGGGTCTAACCAGCACAACTGGTACTAACCGTGACGTAAGTAGACATTGATTGGCCAAACGCGTATGAAAACGCCCTCACCCACCATGATTTAAAATGCCATGTAAACATACTGTAAACATTGTGTCAACTTATTGCGATAGATGGATGGACGCTGAAGTGCAGGCACTTGTAGCAAATGTAGCACTGCCAGTTGTCGTTGGAGATTCTTAGTCCTCCTTTCCGTTCTTTCAATCGCTTTACGTATACGTTGACATTCCATGTCCATCATTGTGAAACTCACGAGACACAACAAAAACAGCTCCGATCACAGCATCCTCCATCCTCCTGTTGTTAATGTTGTTTTTATTTGTTTTCGTTGTTGAACGCCACAAACAAATGACGTCGCTGTCGACCGGCTTACGTCACTTCTTAGTACACACTCTCGGTGCGAATGCAACCCTTTAAATGGTACTGGGAAATAGTTCGCGCAAAATCATCCCAGTACTTTAGTACCGTACATTTAGTTCTGGAACTAAAGCGGTGCGAAAGGGCCTTTAGATAGCCCTGAACTCTTGTAATAAATGTCCTTTGGTTTCCATGGTTGCACCCATTAAGGCACTCTGGGCCAAAGGCCTGATACCCAGAATGCACCATATACCTCTTTCTCCTGCACAAATAGGCAGTCATTATATAGGATCTATTCCCCCAGATGTCTGAATGTCAAAGAGCAACAAAAGATACTAGTTTGCATAAAATAATGAAACATGATTGTTTTTATCCTGTCAGACTTGCAAGTTATGGTGCTCAGTGGAGTCTGGGAGTATGGCTCTGTCTCCAATACTAAATCTAACCTACCTAGACTGCAATTTTAGTCATCGTAGGAGCATGCAAGTGATTGAGCTGTCTCCTAAAGAGATTTCATTTTGGCTGTATTTTGAGGCAGCTACAGTATATTGGTATCTTTTGTGGATAAGGCAATCCCACATCTATTTTATGATTAGCTCAGCAAGAAATTTCCATTCAATATAGCAAACAGAGCCAAGAGAAATTATTTTTTTCTTTTTTTAAGAGTCTGTAGTAGACATGGCATGTCAAGCAGTGACAGCAGTGTCCTGCAGCTTGGCATGTTATTCTCTGCATGACATGCTATTCTTGACATTATTTTGTGCATCACTTGTTGTCAAGTTCTTGTATAATTATGTACTATATTATGTACTACCATATGTAATTTTATACTATGTGGTATTTTTGAAGATAAATAAGTACTATATATAAATATTAGATGTGTGTATTTATATGTAATTATATAGATATTTTATATAGATAGATTTTTTTAAGAAATTCATGTTTTTATGCAGCAAGGATTAGAAATGATCCATTAAAATACATCTGTTACAAAAGATATCTATTTTGAATTCTGAAATGTATCACATTTTCCATACTGAGCATAAATATGCATATAATAAGAAATGCTACTTGAGCATCAAATCTGGATGTTAGAATAATTTCTCAAGGATCATGTGACACTGAAGACTGAAGTTGCTGAAAATATAGCTTTGCACAGGAATAAATTACATTTTAAAATATGCATTAAAATAGAAAACACTTATTTTAAATGTAATAATCTTTCGCAATATTACTGTTTTTACTGAATTTTTAATTCAAATGCAGCCTTGTTGAGCATGAGAGACTTATTTTCAAAATATTAAAGAGAGAGGACCCAAAAATGAAAATTCTGTCATTAATTACTCACTCATGTTGTTCCAAACCTGTAAGAATTGAAGATGAAATCCGAGAGCTTTCAGGCCCTCCATTGCACACAAAAAGTATTCTCATAGTGTCATAAAATTACGGTTGTACCACTGATGTCACATGCAATATTTTATTGATGTCCTTACTACCTTTCTGGGCCTTGAACGTTTCCGTAGCATTGCTGCCTGTGGAGGGTCATAAAGCTCTTGTATTTCATCAAAAATATCCTAATTTGTGTTTCGAAGGTCTTACTGGATTGGAACGACATGAGGGTGAGTAGTTAATGACAGAATTTTCATTTTTTGGTGAACTATCCCTTTAAAATATCATAACTTAACATAATTTGTAAGTATTGTATATATTTTAGGTGTAACTTTAAAAAATTAAAAAAAAATATTTTAATATGTATATTTAATATTGCAAAGTCTGGATACAAGGTCATTATGATGCATTGCACATGACATTTATGTGTGCTATTTTCTTGTGCTCATTATTAGCGTTTGTTTTGCTAGCTACATGTCAGCTAGCCACAATCGGCTTTGAGCATGTAATGGCTCTCTTGTGCACAGCAGTGGCTTTTAACAAGGTTGCCGATCATCTGCTAATGAGGTTTCAGGAAATAGGCAGCAAGTTCCCTTTATAGGAAATAGACAGCAAGTTAGGTCTCTAAAAACAGTTATGTTGCCATCTGTTTATGCCATGTGCATGATAGGCTTTTCTTTGCCCATCAACTGTTTCACAAAATTTTTTATAAAAGACTATAGATTATTATGCCACTGACAAAGACAAATACGCCCCCATTATTTATTGGGTCATCATCCAGGATCAGCTCCCAGACTTTTGGTACCTCTTGCATCACATATCAAGGGACTACATCGCTTATTCCATAGGGCCTGGCTGGGCTTCAGGTGTCTGTGATAGTTTTGAGAATTGATGGCCTGAAGAACTTTTGAGAGCAATCGTTTATTGGCTGGAGGTACTGGCAGGTTTTTAAGATTATACTAGCTTTATGATGATGATTTATTATGGCTACACACTTCATATTCCCAAAGCACTGCTTTAAGTTCTCTGAATATGAGTCTCGTATGTTCACCAAGTCTTCGTTCATTTGATAAAAAAATCTGTAAAATCGGGTTATAATTGTTGAAATATTACAATTTAAAAGAATTATTATTTTTTTATATTATTTAATATATTTTAAAATGTAATTTATTCCTATTATGGCAAAGCTGAATTTTCCATACCAGATGCGACAAGTTTCTAAAAGCAATAAAAAAAAATTCTCTCCAGACTGAATGCAAAACTGCTGCTTGACATAGAACAATCACAGCCAGTCAGAACATATCTGAACATTTGTACCTAAAAGGTGCCTATTAGTAATTTAAGCTATTATTATTGAGCCTTTATGGCTTGCTAAGATACAAAGCTATACAATTTTGCACTTTTTTTCTGTCAGTGTGCCTTAAAGGGATAGTTCACCCAAAAATGAACATTCTGCCATTTACTCACCCTCATGTCATTCCAAACCTGTATGACTTCTTTGTCGAAGATATTTTAAGAACTGTTTTTGTCCATACAGTGAAAGTCAGTGGAGTCCAAAACAACTGTAAACCCCATTAACTTTCATTGTATGGAGTTCTTCACAATATCATATTTTTTGTTCCGTAGAAAGTCATACATATGTGGAACAACGTGAGGGTGAATAAATGGTGATAGAATGTTAATTCTTGGTTAAAATATCTTTTCAAGGTCCTGGCAGATAAGATACATGGTGTTTACACTGAGTTTTTCTGGAATTTTTCTTTGGCTAAACTGTCACTATCTTCCATTTGTTAAAGATTCATATTGTTCATGTCATCTTTAATTTCTTGTCTCTTCTTAATAAGGTCTCAGTGCTTTGTATATAACCTCTTGTAAGGAATTGGAGGCAGAGCTGGAAATTCGGATTCACAGATCAGTTAGCCCCACAGATGGGGAAGATACCATGCCAGCTCCTGTATTACATGAGACGCTCATCTGACATAGGAGCTGAGAACTTTGAGAATTGAAATAGTGAAGCACACTGTAGCTGAAAGTGATTTTTCTGCACTGGGATTGGAGGGTATTTCCCATGGGTATTTATACCTACTGTGGCCTGCTTTCCAGCGCAGATACAATGATATCACTCCGCGGCTGGAGCAGAATTAAAAGCTCTTTAAACATTATCGCCTCTTTGGCAAGAACAGACCTCCTGTGAGATTTGATCTTTGCTTTTCTTGGATAGCATGGATAAAAACTTCAAAATGTTTAGAGGGAAAAGCCTTTAGGCTCCACCCCCAATGTGCACAGTACTGTTTTTGTATGACTCTTATTACCTAAGAGTCATCCTCTGTAAAATTTAGCCTCTGAGTACTTTTCACTATATGCAGATTATTTTTTATAAAGATGAGCATTATTTAAAAAAAATGTATTGCCTAATTTAGTCAAATCTAGGTTGTCTTCATCAACACTTTTAGAAAATAACACTCCCTGTTTAGGCACCAGCATCTTTGCTTTTTTTGTCAAAGGTATGCTGTTTTCCAAATGTGTGATTCATGGCACACACATGAACAAGGTGGGCGAGACCTCATTTATAAACCCATTATTGCTGCTCGTTTATAATCTCTTTCTGTTCATTGGATAAATCAGTGGGAGTCAGTGAGCGCTGACCGTGTCCGTTCTCAAGAGGCTTGTGTCACTCTAAGCGAAATGTCTTTTCTTGACACCTCTTCTCATTTCAGTCCTTCAGTTTTACACATCTTTCAGTGTTCGATTCTTTCGTTACTGTGACAAGCTAGTCCTGGTGATTTTCAGCAAATCTCTTATTTATCTGTCTGTCTTTTGTTCCGTCATTCATTCTTTCTATCTTCTATTTGTTATATCTGATGTTCTATAATACTCACTGTCTGTCTATCTATCTGTCTGCCTGTCTGTCTTTTGTTTTGACATTCATTCTTTCTATCTTCTATGTTATTTCTGTTGTCCTATACTTGCTGTCTGTCTGTCGGTCATTCGTCCTTTGTATCTTCTATCTGTTATATCTGTTGTTCTGTAATACTTACTGTCTGTCGTTGTATTTATCTATCAGTTAGCCAGCATGTCTGTCTGTCTGTCCTGCTGTCATTCATTCTTACCATATTTTATTTGTTATTTCTGTTCTATAATACTCACTGTCTGTCTGTCTGTCTATCTACCGTTCACTCTATAGTACTGTGAATATCTTTTGTGGACAAAACCCATGAAGCTTTAGGAATGATGTAACGGAATAAAAATTTGACACCTCTTCTCATTTCAGTCCTTCAGTTTTACACATCTTTCAGTGTTCGATTCTTTCGTTACTGTGACAAGCTAGTCCTGGTGATTTTCAGCAAATCTCTTATTTATCTGTCTGTCTTTTGTTCCGTCATTCATTCTTTCTATCTTCTATTTGTTATATCTGATGTTCTATAATACTCACTGTCTGTCTATCTATCTGTCTGCCTGTCTGTCTTTTGTTTTGACATTCATTCTTTCTATCTTCTATGTTATTTCTGTTGTCCTATACTTGCTGTCTGTCTGTCGGTCATTCGTCCTTTGTATCTTCTATCTGTTATATCTGTTGTTCTGTAATACTTACTGTCTGTCGTTGTATTTATCTATCAGTTAGCCAGCATGTCTGTCTGTCTGTCCTGCTGTCATTCATTCTTACCATATTTTATTTGTTATTTCTGTTCTATAATACTCACTGTCTGTCTGTCTGTCTATCTATCGTTCAGTCTATAGTACTGTGAATATCTTTTGTGGACAAAACCCATGAAGCTTTAGGAATGATGTAACGGAATAAAAATTATGGTACAGTATGAAGCTATTAATGTAGAGTCATTAATTATAAGTGTAAATTACAATATCTCTGCTGAGCTCTTCTGGTGTGGTTCTCGTTTACATGGTAACAGGGGCTCCGCTTCAGAATCTCTTCAGACTTCCAGAAACCTGCTGTTGAGCTCAATTTGAAGAGAGCAAAAGTGTGCGAGACAGCGAGTGTGTTTACCTGTCTTTGTTTGCACACAGATGTTTCTGTGTGTGTGGTGAAGTGTCCACTGGGCAGTGCTGAAGGCTTCTCTTTCAGATCTGATAGTGGTTCTCCCTCGGGCCAGCTGCAGTTCTGTGATTAGCTCTCTCCAGCGATGCCATCCAGTCCCTCGGTCCGCTGTTCTGTGGAGCACTCTGTAAACACTGCATTTTAGCTTTTATTACCTCACATGTTTGTGTTCAGGTGTGTGAGCATCTGTTTGTGGGTGTTACCGCATCAACAAACCCCTTGTGTGAACAGCGTTGGTAGCTGCTTTTGCGTTCAGCAAGGTTGTACAGTATGTACAATGGAACAAACAAAGATTTTATTTGATTCCTTGCCATCATTTTTTTTTTCATTTCAGTAAGATCAATTTCACTGCTTTCTGCAGAAAAAAAGGGTTTTACTTGAACTCCAGCCATAGATCCTCCTACAAAGATCAGTTTCCGTTTTGGTGGTACAAATCCAGCAGTCTTAGCATGCATGCAGACTAGATGATTTCTGTTGAGCTAGATTTGAAAAATGATGTCTTCTCACACAATCAGAGCTATCCTAATAGGATTTTTGCATTGTGGCATCAGTCCTGATCAAGTTCACTTTGAAATCAGATAGAAATTAGCACTTCTTTATTTCGTTGAGGCGCAGTCCTTGGGTCACAGAGGTTCTGGCAGTCAGCTGTCTGCCATGGCTCAGTTTCATTCAACAGCTTGGCGGTTAACCTTAAGCCTGTGGTTGGATTGTGGGAGCCGGCACATTGTGACTTGGCTCATACCACAGACTGGCATGATGGCTGCTCGGGGTGAAGCATCAATTATTTCCTCCCACTGTCTCTCCTGTGTTTATAGCAGTCCACAAGGGCATCTGCCTCCATGATTCTCCCACAGGATTAGATCCGGCAGACTTAGGGTATCCTTGGTATGTGCTGTTCTGTTGTTTGTTTGATATCTGGCCAGTTTGTAAAATATACTGTTTTAAAGTATACTGTTTAAAAAAAGAAAGAAAGAAAGAAAGGGAAAACACAACACTAACATTTGACACACTGAACATTTGAAAACATCTGCCCATCTCTCAGAACAGTGTTGCTGTGTTAGGCTGACCAAGATGATCAAGATAAATTTCTACTTAACTATTTTTTTATTTTATTTATTTTTTTATTTTGTTTAGTTTAGTTAACACTCTGTTAATGGAGGTGCCGTGCACATAACCATTTCTTATTTTATATTCATATTCATATTTATTTTAAATTCCATTTTTTATAAAATGTATTATTATTATATAATGTTTAGAAAATTTTATTTTATTTTTAA